CGTGCAGGAGTCAGCCGATCAAGGACTCTCTCATCATTGAGGTATCTCTCTCTTTCTCTCTCTGAAATCAATAAAGAGACATGTATATATTTTTAAATCCATCAGCAAACTACACAATACATTTTAAGACCATGAGTCGTAAACAGAGGTTTGGGTCTACCAAGACATGTCAATAAAGGGTACATGGGGTAGAAAGGGATTAAAACCAAACAGCAATCTTTTATCTTTGTAAAGGGGGATTCATTCATTCTCTTATTCATTTATTCTTTTGCCCATCAAACATTTATTGTGTACTAATATTAAATAATAATACAATGTATTAACAGCAACTTAGAAATTGTATTAAACATAATAAAGTAGTACAACTGGGTTTTTTGTCTGAGCCAGAACAGAAAATGAAGTTAGCTGATGTTTGAAAGTGGGTAAAATTCCCTTCAAATGTTCTCTAGGTTCTGAGAGTACATCAGCTTTCGAATGTCCCACAGAGTGCCAGGAACATTTGGGACAGACAGACAGGTGTTCATACACATCACTTGAATTGCTTAGGTTCCAAGAGACCTGTGGGAAAAGACTTAATCCTGACACAGTTGGAGCCTGGCCATGTTCAAACCCGCCTGATGAACCAGAATGAGGAGAAGGCCTCAAAGGAGGCTGGATTGGACGGAGGGACAATGGGTCAGTTGAAAGCAACCCTGGTCCCCTCCAGGTGAAGTGAGCTTCTTCCTTTTTGTCCTAAAATCCATCTCTGGGCACATACTTTATATCTCTCCCAGGGCTATAATATGGATCCTACACCCCAGCCTAGCTCATTATTTATAGATATTTCCTCTGCCCCATGTCAAGAGGCTGCCTGAACTGACTGATTTTCTTTCTTTTTAAAATGAATGTGTGAAATTTCAAAGTACAGTGCTAAAGTGGCATATATATTTTTCCAACAGCCTAAAATCTGTTTTAAAGTCCTTAAATCCCTACTTATAGGGTCAAGAGCGTGGAGGACAGAGAATTTATGTGGAGATATTTGTGGCTGTGAGTCCCCACCTTTCTTGGGGAAGATCAAGTGATTGGGGGAAAGGACTTCCACGAGTCTTTGAGGTGCCAAATCTGCCCCCATTGCAGTTGGGGAGCATGGTGACTGGATCTACCTCCTGTCTGGGAAATCTATCAAGAGACAAACATGCCAGCTGCTTTGGTGGTAGAACCCAGGAGATTGCTGTTATGTTGAGGTTGGTCTGCTCTTCCAGAATTTGTCAGGGAATGTTTTCTGTAGGCCAGATGTGGACTAAGTGAGAGAAAATGAGTCTGCATAGGCCTACCCTGGGTCCTCTTCAATAGGGCCTCCTACTGGGGTAAAGGGACCCCAGAAGTAAGAAGAAAAGTGACCATTGGTAATAGAGATATCTTTACTAAGGGAAAGGAGCCCAGTACAGCCTCTAAAAGCACCCCGTGATGCTTTGATGATGCACAGGAACAGTTGTAAACATTTTCCAGATCCAGAAAGCACAAAGCTAGCTACAATGCTAGTTCAAAGACGACTTTTCCCACTCCTTTCCCCACATTCCTCTCCATGTCAACACCCTGAGTAACTGAAGTGAGCTGAGGATGACAGAGGGGGAAAATTAAGGGGAAAGCCCCCAACTATTACCCTCTTTCACTGCAAGCTAACAGTCTGAAACAGCAAGGGCACCAAAGGGTACAGTCTCTTGTAGTAGACTGTGAACAACTTGCTGCTGTCCATCTGAGTCCATTCATTTATCATGAAACAGATATTGATTGAATATGTACCATGTGCCAAATCCTGAGTTAGATACTTGGAGAGAAGCAAAGAACAATACCCCATGGGCCCTGCCTAGAGCC